AATCTCGATTTTTCTCGGGTTTTCGGGTTATTCGAATTTTTTCTGGTTTTTTCCCGGTAAAATCTTCGTATATAACTTGCATCCTAGTAAGATACAACTATATAAGATATTTTTCAAGAAAATAATACAAAATATGAGATGTGTGGCATTAATCTAAAATACTTAACAATGAAGACAATAAAATTATGTAAAATAAATATTGCTAATTAAAAAGTCAAAATAAAAATAAACATAATCTAAAGGTACTAAGTCATGCTAAAATAAGTAGACTAATAAGAGAGTATTAATTACATGACTAAATGTAAAGAAAAATAAAAATAGGTTATACATTTTTATCTAAATTATTACAAAACAAAACAAAAAATAGATATTCAATATATTGTCGTTCGTTGCATTGAATTGAATGTCTTTTGTTAGCAATAGTATTGATTTGATTTTGATTTAGGGTTTTGTTAGCATTATTTAAGTTACTAATATTAATGACTGTAAAACTTATTGGAACATTCAAAAGTTTTAAGTCCAACCTTGAAATAATACCTTAAAAGATAAAATTATGAAAAAATTTAAGAAATATTTATAAATTACATCACAATAAGTATATTTATATATTAAATATATCTAAAATTTCTCTATATGTAATGTCTGGTTGGTTTGGTTTCGTTTTGACTTTCTTTAGTGAAAACCAAACCAAATCAATTATGGCAGAGATTTTTTTTTTCAACACCAAATCAAATCATAGTCGAATTTTTTTTCTCGATTTGACTCGGATTATCGGATTGGTGCAGTTTGTCGGTTACCTTTGTACACCCCTTTGCAAAAATCCCTTTCCAGATCCCACGGTGTGGGATAATCAGAGGCGGACCTACCTTGGAGCTAGGGGGTCATCGGAACCCGTTAGCCTCGAAAAAAATAATGTAAATTTATTTTATATATATTTGTATATACACTGGGGATCCCTTAAGTAATTTTTCTGGCCCCCTCAACAAATAAAGCAGGATAGAAGAGACTGTTTTTGCATCCTAGTTGAGTGCTTCAGTTGCTTGACTGACTCAAGTTCGAAATGCATCTCTCTTACACTCCTATTTTATTTTAGTTTAGTTTTTTTTTAAATCAACAATTGTTTCCTTTGGCCTTAGATGTCTACTGTTTTTTTTTTTAATTTTATTTAGTTTGAATTCTTAATACTTGTATACAACACTCAACCTACAGTTTTAACCTTTTTCAAACTCAAAACAAAAGTAACCCTTCTGCCTCTCACCTTTCTTTTTCAAACAAAAGTAAAACCCCTCCAATCACCCCTTCTGCTAAAAAATAAAAATACTTTTTCAAACGATTGTTTTAATCTTAATTTGTGTTTGCTCGAGCTCGACTTTGACAGCCCAAATCGGCGCCGTGAAGAAGGGTCTCAAACTCAGTAGACGTTGCCGACGTCTACTGAGTTTGAGACTCTTCTTCAGCTCTGAAACAATAAATTTATTTGAGGAAATTTTAATTTTATTTGAGTAGTTTTTTGAAACCTAACCATTTAAACTAGAAATAGCCGGTGGACGTATAATAAATGTATAATTTATGTATTATATGATGTATAATTGTGTGTAACTAATGCATAATCTATATATATGATTACAAAAAGTAAATAATGAATATGACCGGCTATTTTGGATAAAGATCCCTAATTTTTTCTTTTGAAAATATTAACAAAGCAAAATAATTTGGTATCGAACTTTTGCTTTCTGCAAAGAGTTTTAGAGCCAAAAAGTAAACTTAAAGTTCGTATTTGCTAATACATTATCATACTCATTTTTTTAATAGAGTTACGCGCGAACTTTATCACTAGTAATTGGTATGCTTAGGGTAATAGTGCGCCGTAATGCTCAAATTCTGGGTACGCCTCTGGAGATAATACTAGATATGTTGTTGTTGGATTGCAAAAATATGACACTTTTTGGGGTTTTGACTCCCGCCTGGCCCATGAGCAAGAATTTTAAGGTCAAAAGTTAAAATTGTTACCCATGGGGCAAGCGAGGATCAAAACTTAGTTTCACTTGAAGTTTTGCCTATAGGGGAAGCGGGGATCAAAATTTCAAAACCATGTACTTGACCCGCAAACGGGGGTCAAAAGTTCAATAGCATGTACTTCACCAGCAATAACACAAGTTTTAGAAGGTTAGAAATTGATATTGCTAATCAATGACTCGTATAGGATATTTGGGCCAGGTAAGTCTTGATCCATCCAAATATAAGTAAGTAACAACAGGTATTTATTAGGTAGAAATGACACCAGGTAGCCATTCTAAAGGGTTGCTATTTAAGAATCAGTCAGTGTATTCTGAAATTTAATTTTTTCAGTTTAAATTTTCAGGACAAAAATATTCTAAATTGTCCTGAAGTTAATATTCGTTGTTTAAAAATTCAGGACAAAATAAATATTGACTAATCTCTAAGTAATATCGCTGAGAATGACTATCTGCGCACTTGCCCCATTTATGTTAAGTGGGCTTGCTGTGAAGTAGAACAGTTTAGGTCCATGAGATATTCATGTCTTTCTTGGCCCAGCCTATTAAGCTGGTAATGCCCAAAAACTTTAATGTTTTGATTGGCTGGACCATTCGAATCTCATGATAAAGAGAAAACTACCCTCTATAGCCCTTCAAAATTTTAATAGCCTATATTTTGTACCACTTACAAAAAATAGCCCTTCGGTCCAAACATATTGAATATAGTAGCCGAAAGGAATGAGCATTGACAACACAAGTGTCAGTAGCTCAGTGGATAGGGCGTGTATTTCCTAAGCTGAAGGTCGCAGGTTCAACCCCTAGCTGGCGTGATAGAGCAACCCTTTTTTGCCTTTTTAAATTGTATTTTGTACTTCTGGATCTAATAATATTAGCTAAGAATTGAATGAAATATGTAATGCATGTCATATACGAAATGTCTATTTTGTCTATTTTTTGTATAATAACATTCTATTTTTTTGTATATTTTTTGCATAGTGACAGTCTATTTTGTATAGTTTTGGCTATTTTGTATATTTTTTGTATAGTAACAGTCTATTTTGTATAGTGACAGTCTATTTTATATATTTTTTGTATAGTAACAGACCATTTTGTATATTTTTGTATATTGACAATCTCTTTTGTATATATTTTTATATAGTGACAATCTCTTTTGTATATATTTTGTATAGTGACAGTTTATTTTGTATATTTTATATATAATGATAGTATATTTTTTGTATATCTATTGTATACAAATTGTATAATGATAGTCTATTTTGTATAACTTTTGTATAGTGACAGTCTATTTGTATATATTTTAACTTCATGCATAGTTATCTCCTCTCATCTTCCTCTCATTAAGAGACCAGCCACCGGCATCCATGGCCACACAGTTGTCGAAAATGGTAACAAGATCGCCGGAGTTTTAAAGTTTCAGGCAAAGATCTTCAAAATATTAATTTCATATTCACAGAAACTATAAGAGAAAATCAGAGAAAGAAGACAAGGCCATGAGTGTCGTGGTTGGCGGAGTTGCTTCTTCTACGACGAGGACACCTGCATCCATGGCCTCACAGTCGCCGAAAATGGTAACCGCAATATTATAAAAACAGTAAAATTGTGAATCAATCAATTAATTATGTCACAAAACACAAACTAATGGAGATTTAGAAAAACCACCACAGAATTGAAATTGAAAAAAATAAAAACACAGATCAGCAGATCCAACATAATATTCTTCAAAATACAACATTCTCATAGCTCATCAGCATTTCAAATGTGTGGTCCACAACACGATGCATGCTTTCTTATCCATAATAGATCTCGGATCATAAGTTTGCGATGACAATAAATTGTGGTCATAGCATATTTGTATTCAAAACCCAGATAGAACCCAAAATCATGAAATGCAAACAAGAATTAAAATATAAGATGAAAATTACAATGGCTTTCAGATTTTCGAGAACCGAATAAAGGATTCAAACCCCGAAATACAAGAAAAGGGAGACGAGAGAAACCAAAGAGGCTTTTTAAAGAGAGAGAGAAAGAGAAAAGCGTCCATGGAACCACAGCCATGGGTTGCTGGCATGAGAGAGAAGAAGAAAGATAGTAAGGAAGAAAGATAGAGATGGGAGGCGACGGCTAGCACTTGTCATTATTTTTAGGCTATAACTTATATGGGTCAATTTGTGGGCTATCGGTTGAAATTTGTTTTGCCCAATGGGCTATAAATGAAGTTCTCTCAAGGATAAATTTCTAAAGAACCAGAAATAGAATAACAAGTTATAAGGATTAATTAAAGTCAAAAGTCCCAAATATGAGCTGTATGCCAGCTTAATACTACTTTCCCAGAAAGAATATTAGAAATTAGTCAAAAATTAACTTCATCATTATGTCCAATGACTACTCTTCCTTTAAAGACTTATATAAAAAAAAAATGTATACTTCTCTTTTATTTTTTTGATTTTGGCCCATTGACTCTACCTATTTGCCAGTATATCAGTCAAGCTCAATAATGGTGACAAATTGAAGAATCAGACTTTCTAAAAGCCACCCCAAATTTGTATAAGACAACTTTGCTTGTTCAAATACATTTTAATTCTTTTAAGAAATATTTTGGTGTGTTTTATCGGGGAAAAAAGAGATAAGAATCAAATAATAAATATAATAAACCCCTTATATATTTGTTTGTACAATTATTCATCTCATCAACCAGTTTTTGAAGATAAAATAGGTTCAATATTCACTTTTTTTTTAAAAATAAATTCAATGTCCTAAGTTTTTGAGTTTCATGTCTAAACATATATAGAATCAGGTCAAACCGTAAACTGACCTTCTCCCAAATAAAAAGAAAAAGAAAAAAACAGAAGATAATAAATAGTACGAGAGAGAGTACTGTAGGTTTCACATGGGGATGTTATCATTATAACTCCCACAACAGCCTGCACGTTACTACTCAATTATTCAATACTATACACAACACAAGAACTCATAACATATTCATTGAAAAAAAAAACATGTATATATTCATAATGGGCAAACACGCTTCAAATTTCTCTACATGTTTCCATTCATCAATAATCAACAATAATAATCACGTAAATTAAACAAATAAAAAAAACACAAAAATTTACAGAAGCAGTGATCCATTAATATTAATCATCACTTGTCTCTTGACTCTTGCCTCATTTCTTTCTTGCATTTTGCAATTTGTAATATAGTACTCGTCTCTGTGTTATTGAATTCTACTCCGATTCGAACCCGGGACGACTCGGTGGTAAAAACAAACAACTCGCCCCACCACTTAATTGCCATCTCTCATTCTCATTCTCTTTCTCATTCTTATTCTTATTCTCCGGAATAGACTTGACTCTTTAATCGCCGACCCCCTCCCCCCCTCAATTTTTTTTTTTATAAAAAGGATTTACCTTATACTGACGTTGTAAATCATTTTTACACAATCAATATAAATTCACATGTAATAACAAGTTAACCGTCCATTTTTTCAAGTTTGCTAATTCAACAAATCATGGATAATTATTAGCAGTTATCTTTTAAGTGATCTGTCTGTTAGTGTATTCAGATTGTTTAAGTTTACACTATCAGATCACCTGAAAGATAGCTACAGATAATTGTTCATGAAATTAGATTAGTAACTCAAAAAATAAAACAGATTACTTGTTACAACAAGTTAAAATACACTAATAATGTAACAATTCATTACATTGTTAATATGTATAAGTTAAATCATATAAGAAAAACCTTAAACTTACCAGCAAAGTTTAGTCCTGGTAAGCAAAGAATAATCCCCTCAATTAGTAAATAAAAAGAGAAAAAAAAAACGCAGCTGGACCCATCAACCAACCGAGTCAAGTGAGTTAATAACTGTGCAGGCGAATTAACTCGGACGAGTCGAACCCGGGTCAAAATCAGCAGTATCTTTATTTCATCTCCATTGGAAAATTAATTACCAAATGGACTTGTCGGAGACGCCATTCAATAGTGGTCTCGAATCAGCCCAGAAATCAAGGTTGCTTCTTAATCCCATATGACAACAATATCTCTGAAAATCCTCAAAATTAATGAAACATCCGACGTTATTCTTGTCGGATTCGGACCGGGCCAAGTAACACAGTATTTCCTCGAACAATGTCTCGTCGCAGGGAATTGTTAATAGGCCTGAGTTTGTGAAACCAAATTCTTCTTCAGCTTGTGAGAGGAGCTTTTTGAATAATGGATGGTTCAGGTACGTCGCGCGGACCACGTATCTTTTGCAACTGGTACCTACGGAGACTGCCACGTGTCCGGAAGGTACATCAGACGGTACACGGCGAGCTGCAGCCTTCTTCCTCCACCTCCGCAGCATTTGACGGAGTCGAACAATGTAACGGATTTTACTGCAAGCTGACATTTTCCCGAGAAAGTTAAGGAAAATATGAGAAAAAAATTCTCTGTTGCTTTTTTCGCTTTGATGTACTGATGATCGTTTGTTTCTGTTTCAGAACGGAAAAAGTAAAGGTTTTTTTCCCAGGGTTTTCAGAGTGGGGATGACGGGGGTTTATATAAAAGTTTGAGTTCATAAGTAACCCCTACTTTTGAAGCAATTTACGACTTTTGCCACTATTTCTAAATTGAGTAATTTATTCCTTTGATTCCGATAAGTCGTATATTGCATTTTTGTCAATTTGCGATTTTGCATGAGAAATTTTTGTGGCTAACTCAATTTCGGCCTTCCACTTTCTTTTAAAGGTAAATTAAATATAAGAGATTAATTACTGAAACTTCGTTATCGAGTCTCCCTGATCACTAATTAAACATCTTTTTTGTATTTATCATGATAAGAATATGGTTTAATTTTAGATGACGAAAAAATATGATGCATATAAGTTTTTAATTTTTTTTTTTGTAAACGAGGAAATTTGTAGTTGCTACCATTCGAGTGCGCTCTGGATAAACGTCGTTTCAGTATAATAGGTCGCTGCTAGGCAAACGCCGTACGAAGACACCGGCCGAAAAGGCATGCACAGGATTTGGAACTGCAACCTCCCATTTAGGGGATCTTTTGCTCAACCAACTCGACCACCCTAGCTACTATTGTATGGCGAAGTAAAGAATATAATTAGAAAATTAAGGATTAGACAATCAGTTTAAATGGAGAATTTGTGAGTATATGTTTCCATTCTCTTGAAATCCTTGCGTCAATTTGGTTGAAATTATATAAATTTCAAACAGAGTAAAACCAATATACTAAATGAAGTGCAAGTTACCTATTGTGTTGGATATTTTCATGTATCAAAGATAGAATGTCTTAGTTCCTAGCTAATTTAATTTAAATGGTGTGAGTTACAGTTTTGTATATGTAATATTTAAGACTAACGATATTCATATTACAAGGTATTCCATCTATTTCAATTTAAATGATACATTTCGATTATCGACAATTAATTTGACTAAACTTCGAAGTTAAATTGGATTAGCTCAACTCAATATTTTAAATTAAAATTTACATATTCAAAAATTATACGAGAAATACTATAAATTGCAATTTTTTATCATGTTAATGTTATAAAAATATATATTTTAAAATATTGATCAAACTTTATACGATTTGACTCTCGATAAACAAAACGCGTGATCTAATCTGAAATAGAGAGAGTACCATTCAAAAAAATCTTACGCCCCAAATGACTTTTACTGGTGTCCCCAAAGAAAATATATCCCACTTTTAATTTTTACAAGTTCTTCTGTTCATTAAATGTTTTTGGGTTCTCGATTAATTTCAGCTATAATATTTTTAGTATGATTGAAATGTCAGAAATGACATCACCTGCGTTCCATACATTTAACCAAATGGTCTTTTAATTGGAAGCTTTTAATCAGTTATAAAATCCATATATTTAGAAGATAATCCTCTTTATGTGGCTCTAGTGTTTTACGTAATCTAATGAAACATTCATATTCCTTTCCAAGAGAAAATAGAAAACATAATATCTACTTATCGACAGTTAACTAAATAAAGCAAATTTACACATACAGAAATCCTCCACGTTTTGTTCTCTTTTCATTCTCTCTGGATTTTCCAATCTTTATAGAGGATCAATTCTGACACATAAGAGGTCATGGCCGTTTACTTTGAAATAGGCAACTCTTGCTTTGAGTTTTTTTTTTTTTTTAAAGTCATTTCATGTCTTTATGATGCTTTTCCTTTTCCTTTTGCTTATTCGTTATTTGGTTTATTAAAGTTAATTAATTACGTAGTTAAAAACTTCATATATATATAAGGATCGTTAAAGTGAAGTTCGGGACATGTTTGAGCTAAAGTTGGTCGTGGGAGAAATTCAAAAATAACTAGATTTACGGGTGGTAATTCAAAAATAGTCACAGTTTTAAAAGTAATTGAAATTTAATCACTTTTCATGTAAAGAGTCTGAACGAAATTACTATTCAAAATTCGAAAAAATACTCCAGTATAATATACTGGTCCAGCATAATATACTGGAGATTGGAGCACCGGTATATTATGCTGGAACTTTCCGTATTGCAGCAAAATAGTGGTTATTTTTCAACATAGTACCGATGCTCCAATCTCCAGTATATTATGCTGGAACTTTCCGCGTGTTGGAGTTCCAGCATAATTTGCTCGAAGTTCATACATAGGTGTACCGATCTCCAATATATTATGCTGGAACTTTCCGTATTGCCGCAAAATAATGACTATTTTTCAACGACTTTGCAAACGCTGGCTATTTTTGAATGATCAACCCGAAAACTAGCTAGCCCGTACGATTTTAACGTTGATTGTCGTCACTATAAGGCCCTAAGCAACATAGTTGAGGGAATTGTTTTTTTTTTTTTTGTGTGTGTTAGTTGATCTACGACGCACCCTAATTGTTATTGCACGAGTCATTCTTCACGCAAAAATTGACAATACATGAGTATGTGCACTCACTGGTACTCTTTGTGATAATGAATGTGGATTTGATATAAATACATTACATTTTTTAATATTTCTTCTAAGGGTATATAATTCAAATTTAGAGCAATAAGTTCAATAGAGGCCTGCCATTAAAAGAGGCAGATTCATGATTCAAAGGTGGCAGGGCACATGAGCGAATTGTTGAACCAATGGCACCTATTGGACTTTTGATCTTAAGGTTTCCAAAAAAAAAAATGTATGACCGTTTTTAATATATATACACTTTTATATTCAGAATTTTTGCCGAAAATAATAGGGTGCGGTTACCCCTCTTCTTAGTGGAGGATGCAGCGTATAACCTACGGGTTCAACTGAACCCATAACTTTCTGAGTAAAAATTTATATGTAAAAATTCATTAAAATTGTAAAAATAGTAGATATGAACCCATAAATTTAAAAATACAATGAGTTCAATGTTAAAAACCTTAAAATTGAACCCATAAGATTTAAATCCTGGATCCTCTTTTGCCTCTTCTACCGGCATAGGTCCACTTCTGCTACCATACCTACTTAGTATTAGTTCAGAAGAAAAGACAGTAGAAAGGATGAGTAATTAGATTAATTAATTAATTCGGATTTTTTGTTTTTCTACGAAGCCGCTAGTTGACATTTCCAGAATCAAGAAACATAAAATTCTAATCAGGGTTGTTGCTGGAATCTTTGGTACAGTACTGAACTCTTATCTTCCATTAAAACCAGCTATGATCTTTTAGTAAATAAATGCATTCTTGCAACAACAGTATCATCCTATAACTTATTTTTAAATGATCAAAAACTGGATCTAATTAGGATTAATTTGGTAATTAGCGGCTTGATTAGAATCCCAGGCTAGCCTAGGAACTAAAAGACAGTAGAGAACAGCCATAGTGGAGTTCGTGTGCTTTCTAAATGCTTTTCAACGCACGAATTGTCGAAAGTCGAATCTCCAAAAACCTCCCACATGTCAAGTCTTCATTACCACAAAAATGAAAAATAGAAAAAATTCCGTTGTTCTTTTCCATGTTATTATTATTAATATTGAATATGTGATTGATGGGTAGGGTAGAATCCCGTATTTTAGTCGTAGTTTGCACTTAAATTACTATATTTTACTTGTGTTTGAGCTTGAATGATAGTGAATTGCACTTATTATGTATTTACACTTTGCAGGAAGTGATTCCGAGTTAAAAAGATAACTGGGAGCTAAATCGAACAAGTTGGGACATTGAAATCTGAGTAAAAGCCCAAAGAATTAAACTAGTATCGCGTTCGGGGGTTGATATTAGGCTAGATATATGTCATTTGACAATGGTTTTTGCCCCAACTTGATTATGTTTCAATGCTCTAATATAATTAAATGATGAAAAATGAGCTCTAAATTGTGTTGCAGGAATGAAGAGCTTGTATGAGGCCTTAAAGCTGTGATTGGAGCTACATTGAAGCAAGAAAGACCCTTAGGAGCTGAATAAGCGAGAAGACGAGAATAAAAGAACCAAACAAATGAGACCTGGACTAGCTCGCCCACATGCGCGATCGCGCTAGTCCACATTCCGGAACAGAATCGTCAGGGGTAATTTTGGAAGTCTGGGGGGCAAATTCACTTAACCTATAAAAGGTCAAGCTTGCCCAAAAGAGAGTGTGCAGCTTTTATTAGCTAAGAACAAGAATAGGAAAGGCAAGGAGCTAAGAGGAGTTTTCTACATCAAGTTCTTCTCCTCTTCCTTTTGTTTTTATGATTTGTAATGAATTTTATTATTATGATGTTTATCATTGTTATGAGTAGCTAACTCTTTTAATCTGAGGTTTTGGTTGAACCCGTTGTGGATGAACTTATTGTGATATTAATATAGTTTTGAGTTAGTTATTGATCTCTATTTGTTCAACTATGTTTTGATTTTTGGTTAGTTGAAAGGATCCTCAATTAGCCATGCCTATTTATTATGTATCTACTTAAGAAAGAGTGCATATTTAGGTAATTGTTTGAACAACATCACTCCCGGAGTATAGGCGAAGTCATAACCGAGGGTTTAGAGGTTGGAGTAGAGATAACAATACCTCGGATGCAATCTAAGTGAATTGTAATGCGAATCTAGTAGCGTAACTTGAGAGAATGCGTCTAGTAAATTATCATAATTACTTGACAGAGAGTTATGATAGTTGGAGAGTTCATGATTGATAGAGATAACTAATTCATAACTATAAGAAATATACGACTAAGGAAATCTACAACGGAGGAAGCCATTACCTTAGGCCTTTATTCCAATTGTCTACATTTGCGTGTTAATTAACCTTTGTTTTATTGATTTGAATAGCTGTCATAGTAATTATAACACCACTTGTATTCATAAAGTTTGAGGAGGTTGACTAATAAGAATTTAGTACTTCAAAGACTTCTCTTGATACGTTAATTCCCTGCGGGATTTGATCCGGGGCATAATACTCCGGATTATATTTGCAACGCCCGCGTAATCTTTTAATAGGCTTAGTTGAGCGTGATCAAATTTTGGGCGTCGTTGCCGGAGAGTTAACGGTACTATCAATTGCGATTGAAAGAAGTACAAA